CGATCTGAAAAGAGATTATTCTAGTTCCCCAAACTATGAAACTTTTGTAAAATTTAACTAACTTCGCAGGTTCCACCGTTTCCGAGATAGTGGGATCAGTTAAAAAAACGGCCTGTATAACAGCCACAAACGTAAATTATCTTGTTCAACTGTAAATTCGCAATTTACTTTCCCAAGACTTGCTCTTCTGTAAGTTCGTTAATCTATTTGTCATTGAATAATTACTCTCCCTTATGATTTATTGAAGTCAAAACTGTATGACTTATAATAGAGGCAAACAAATATCATTATAATTGCTATTATCATTATTGTTCAGCAATATGACCCCTTAAGTTGCAAAAAATTTTTGATCCATTTGGAAAACCGATGATAACGTAATTACTAGAAGGTTTACCCTTTTATCAAAGTATTCTAATCAAAATAAAAATTGTCCTGCTTCCTGAATTTTCAATAATTATTTTCAATTAGCTCATAATGAATTTATGTGTTACTTCATCAACGAACTGTATGTGATTATTTGAATAATTTTCACATTCTCCGATTTGAGGAATATAGTCTTATGTATGAACCCGTTTCTCTTATTTACGTTCAAATCAGATTACCGGACCTTTTACTGGAAACGAGCTAATGTCATGTCACAAAGGACACTCTTCAAACCCGCGGGTGCATTAAAAAAAAGTTTCCATGTTAGACTAGAAAGTTTTGAAGAAAATAATAATTTTGTATACTTGATTATGTGGAATAAACTCCATTAAAACAACGAACACGAAATTGTTATTTCTTACCTTTTCAAATTATTTGAATAGTCGGCGCAGAGTTGATATTTTGAAATCCGTTTCGTAATAATCCGCGATTCGCAACATCACCTGCAGCGTATAAAAATGTTATCGATGAATTTAAGTTTATATCTTCTTGAACAAATTGAGATATATAAAGGAAGCTTCTGTCTTGAACGACATCAAAGGAAAATTGGAGAGTTGAGAACAATGCTTTCGAGCACATGCCACCAGTTACTAGATTCACTAACTGCAATAATCATATGACTGTCTTCTGTAAAGAGATGACATGAACACTGTTGAATCAAATTGAAATCTTGAATGGAATAATGTAAATGAAAGTCAGAATCTGTAATTGTTGGGAGAGATTATTCACTGTCTACCGCAGTCAAGAATATTGCAGTGGGAACTAGATCCAGTGCCATCAAATTTATCAGAGATCCACTGTAGTTGACGATTTAAGGATAGTTTTCCTCCAGTCCAGAGTTCGAGAATGAAGACAATCGACACTTTCGAAATTGAAAATTATAGTTCAATGAGGAAGGATCAGAAAACTGTCCCAAGTCAACAAAATTGTGAATTTATTTGACGAGAATTTTTGAAATAATCATAATTATCAGTAACGACATATCCGTTCGAATTTCAATCCAATAATTTTTGGTGGATATTTCAATAATGAATTTTCGAATAATTCATTGAAACTATCCATGATCATAATTAAACAATCTTCACAAACATTTATCATTTCTAGATGCGTTTTGCTGATACCGTAGCTTGCTCGTCTAGAAATGAAAAATGTTTGTGGAAAGAGAAGCAATGTTCCCTCAAGTCAATACCCGCAAATTTGAGAGTTTGCTCCTGACACTTGCTTATTGTCATGGCAAAGCAGACTTTTAGGGGAAACTGTAATCGTTTAAATTCGAACGGAATATCATGAGGTATTAAAGGGATTCGTGGTATAAATACAGTTTCCCCTTTCGCACACCCAGTTGATATAGTGGCTTCCACTATATTGCGATGTAACGCTTTCAGTTGCAGTCTCGTACCGTTACAGAGTTTTGGTGGTTTTGAATTTCGCAACAACAGAATTGGAGTGCCCACACGCCGAATAAGCTCATGACAAGGCAAACCTGGCGGTTTCAATGAATTTAAAAATTCTACAGGGTAATCAGTAGCGTCATCTGTATTAACCACAGTATCAATCGAAGTATAGATCTTTTCTTCGCCCTCAAACGATATGAGCAGGATATCGTTGATAGCTGCTGCTTGATCGTTCTTTGGAGTAAGTACGGCACGCTCACATAACCATTCAATAGGCTTGTCATGTATATGAATAATGTCTGGATAAACTTCAGACGGCAATTCTTGAACCGTAGTAACAACTGTGCACAATTCTTCCGGGATGGTTATCATTCCATCAAACGATGGAAAATCACCATTACCGATTTCAAGAAGGAGATCTGAAAATATACCAGCAGACTCATCCCCACCCAAATGTGCTCTCATATTTTCAGAGAGCTTAAGCTGGGGCCACAAATTAGATTTCTTAATGCACGACTTTACTTCGTCAGCTCTGGCTCCTTTTGGCACCACTGGTAGAGTCTGCCGAAAGTCTCCGGCCAGCAAAACTGTTACGCCACCCATTATGTCCCTCAGTGATATGTTTAAGGCTTCAATACCACCTTTATGAGCCATCGTTATTTCGTCCCACACGATTATTTTTGTACTCTTTAAAACTTCAGCAAAATTACTTTGTTTGGAGATGTTGCAAATGGGAGTCTTGGTAGTGATTAAATTGAGTGGTAACTTAAAAGTAGCATGAGCAGTTCGACCACCTTTGAGTAATGTAGCAGCTATGCCGGACGACGCCACCGCCAGGGCAATGTCGTGAGTACTTCTTACTTTCGCCAAAAGTAATAAGGAAGGTTTTACCAGTTCCACCTGGAACGTCTAAGAAAAATATTCGATCGTCATTTGCATCTACACTTGCGATAATTTCATTGTGAACTTCCTGTTGCTCGTCATTCAAGGATGCTTCATTTTTTCTTACTGCGTCTTCTAAGGCCACTGTATCGTAACTGGTCTCCTTCACGTACTCTCTATTGAGGTAACCCATACTCTTCAAGAGGACGGCCGTCTAATGATAATATGGCATTCTCTAATACCGACAGGCATTTGTTTAATATCAGGTCCGGTGAGTGCTCTACATCCACGTCATCTTGCCTTTCCAGTTGTTTTTCAAAGTCTTCAGGAAGGTATTCTTTGTATTTTTCCCAAAGACATAGGGGGTCGGAAACCTGGCAGAACAATAAAATGATAACAAAAAGCTCCCGAATCATATGCGGTGTTTGACAAAGTGCTGCCTCTTCAAGAGCTGAATACAAATGCCGATCATCTTCGAGAGACCTAGAGCCTTGCACGCGGATTGAAAAGTGGGATGTAAGTGACCATCTACAGTTTTCAACGCTTCAAATGAAATTGGGCCTCTTATTTCATGCATTCGAAGGTGGTAGCATTCTGTATTGTTTAGATGAACAGTATAAACCCTACCTAGAACGTGTTCTTTTTTGACCTCTGACCATCCTTCAACATTCACTCCTCTCTTTCTCCTCTGAAACGATCGCTTGTTCCAAACGTAATACGCAGGGACTTCCGAGTATAGCAATGTTTTTGCAAAGTCATCCACGTTACACAGATCAAAAAAGGAGAGGAGTGTAGTTGTAGGAGGACTACTCAGTTTATCGTACAAGTTCTGCTCATCAAAATAAATTCTCTGTCCATTTTCTAAATGGAGGGCAAGGTGCACTACAGGAGGAAAACGCTCATGTATTGGGAATTCAAGGATTCGCCAAACTGCTTCAGCTGAACTCATATATCGACCACTTGCTCAGGTTGTAACTTCATCCTTCCCATCCTTTCCGTTCTCTAAAGTGAACGTAGTCTGATCTGACCCTTTATTAACATATTTGCAAACGTATTTGATTGACTTCACTGAAGAATGGCAATACTCTACGTTCACGTGAGCGTTACATGTTCTTAATAGCACTGGATTATAAGGAACCACCCAACGATTAACTATTGTAACACCCTTGATATTGACAGAGAATCCACCGTCATCCAGAGGACGTCTCCTGTACTGCGGATAACCATCATCACCGGTTTGAGTTTCCTCAATGAGAGCCTTAGGATAACGTTTGCTGCACAAATTATCTTCCATGCATGGAAAATTTCGGTTAAAACTTCCACAGGGGCCATGTATCATATTACTTTTAACAATTTCGTAAAGCTCAGGATCACGATCTGGGTTAGGTATTTCAGCACAAATAATATTGTCAATTTGATCCGGAGTGATGCGATGTTGAAGCCATAAAAGTATATGAATATGCGGAAGACGTCGCTCTTGCCGTGCCATATAGCATCTCACTTCACCGAATATTTTCCCTTCTATCAACAAAACCATGATTTTTTTTACCTTCAATCGAAAGACACGCGAAATAATATCGTACCGATCATGAGATTTTTGTCCTGAAAGTAAGTGCTCATTTATGTCACTTCAGCGTGGGTTACATGTAAAAGTGATAAAAAGGTCGGGACGACCGTAATGTCTAACATATGTCATGGCGTCTTGCGTTTTTTCGTGTATGTATCTTGGTCCACCAGATAAGATGATGGAAGTACTACCATTTGTCCCAGCTGATTTTCTTTAGTATCTTGACGTCCAATTGCATCTTTTAAATGGATATAATTATCTGCGCGCAATTTGGCTTGATTGTTTTTTATGTAGTTTAGTCTTTCAGTTTTTATTTTTGCGTATTCGTCCACCAAATATTGACTAAAAAAAGCGCGATATTCAACCAAAAAGTTATCTTCTCCTTCTCTGATCATTATTCTGTATGAATAAAAACTTTTCAAGGGCAACTTAGTTGTGGGATCGTATTGTGGTATGTTGATTAAATAGCCATCATTCCCCCAGCAAAACATCAACGGGTACTGCAGCGCGTCATAAGCCCGATGTATCTCACTGATACGCTGAAATGAGTTACTTCGGTTTTCGAGGATGATGTCTTTTCGGTCAAAATGCTGATCTACCAATACAACAGCCATTTCATTTGCCGGGTCATTGAATCTGCCTCTGTGTTCTCTTTGTGGTTTTTTATCTGCAAGCATTACGACCTTGAATGACTCTGAAGGCGATACTTTATCAATGATATTTTATCAATGATTTATCAATGATTTATGTATGGGTGTAAATCATTAACCAGACTGACACTTTTACATCATAGAACCTAAGACTACACTGCTGTCAGTGCCATAAGCAATATCTGGGTTATACGCCAAACCCGAAAGCGACTTGCTTCTCCATACACGCTGAATTGTATTTTCTCTATACCGTGACTGAATCACTCTATGCACATCGGTATTCCTGGCCTGATATGATGCAACAGATTGCCTATGTTTTTCAGGGTTTGCAGCCTGGTAGGTGACGACAGATTACCTCTGTACATCAGGGTTTTTTTTCTTATATTCAGACACAACTTTACGGTGGGATTCAGGTAGAGTCTGTCCATATTCTTTTGTGCCTTTTTTATTTGATTTTTTCGTGTGTAATTAGTAAACCTTGCCCTACGTTTGTTTTTCTATTGATGTCACAGACTCAGATTGGGACAATAAACTTCTCATTAAATTTTCATCATAATTTATTGAAGATACAATAGGTGAATGTTCACGCTCTAAAACAGGTACCTCCTGACAACCCATATCAACTTTAAGTTGCGAAGGTGTAGTAATACCAAAATTATGTTCTTCTACAGCTACCTCCATACGATGCCAAGTAATTTTGTGTGCTGCTATGGGAAGATAGGCATCAAAATGCCCACTGGACAAATCTTTGCTGGATCGTAATCGCTTTACCGGATAGTCGTTAGATCCAGATTCCGTATATATGAGACCGTTTCTATAAACTTCAAACTCTAATGGGAATATTAATCCTGCTGATAAAAAGAGATATTCTAAAGTTACATCTGAATTGGGAGTGGAAATCATAGCCGGGATATAGAAAATTGACGGGGTTTGTTGAAGCACTGACTGTTTCTTTTACTGATTGGGTTTCAACTCTGTGACAGTAACACTCTGTGACACTCGTTCAGTGATAAAACTAAACCAAAATCATCAGTTCCTCGGACAGCTGCCTCACAGAAAAATGCTCATACATGCAGATACATAATCTCCAAAACTTAGGGGGTGAAAAGACGATATGCTCAGTATGTGTTTCATAGTATATTCTGCCACATATTCTCGTGGCAATACACGGCTGTCCCTTAGATTATGCGTCCACTCAAAGCGCCCGTTGTCAAAGCATTTGAGCGGTTTAGTGAATAGAATCATGACTGGTATCGAAAGGAGTTTTGAATGTTTTCTCCTAAAAACGTCAGGGCTGCCTGTCCGGCGGTTTTGCACTAGTTGCCCAGGTTGTGGTGGCGCAACTCGCCAAAAACCTCGAAAGTTAGGTGACCATCCTTGCCTCAATTCAATTTTCACTATTTTTATTTTTTGTTGAGACAACACCGAAGTAACTTTTATCAACTAGAAAATTATCAAGGAATATATGATATACTTATAATGTTTAGTGCTTTATCAAATATTTCAATAATGAAAATTATGTATATATAACACCCCAAACCAGACATCTTCCAGGTGACGATCACGAATATATAAGGTATGAGTTACGTCATGAACGGTAAAATTCATTGATGTATTGACATTCCAAAATAATTTCTTTATAATGAAACAATGTCATTCAGTTCTTCTCCAAATATTTGGTAATTTTCTCTTTGTTGTTACACAGAAATTGAATATTTTGTTTTTGATTCATTAGTGGAAATACAAATGAGATATATTTATGAAGTTCATTATTTCACGAGGTATCTCAATCATGTAAAAATTGTATTAATGACATTCAATAACGATCGTCATTGAGCTGTCTCTATTGACAGACATCTCACGAAAACCATCTCATGACCAATATTGGAGTACAATGTTTACTGGCTTATTTTTATAGATGATTTTGAGCTTCGATCACTTCAGGTGTCACATATAGATCTCAATAATATAATCATACATATTAATCGTAACATTATTTTCACTTTGTGAAGTTTCGCGCTACTTAAGAGGAATCTATCTATCTATCACCTCAAGATCTCACAACAAAATAACAAATTCACTTCAGGCCTTAAGGCCCTAATGTTCCCCTATATTAATTATTGGAAATTGAATTAGACAAGTTTTACCCCCTCAAAGAAATATATGTTTTATATTAGGTCGGAATACGTTTGAAGTAGAATTCATTTCAAGATTGTTCAGCGGATTTGGTAATTGGCTTTGGGGGTATTGAAACCGTTTGTATTAGTGAACCTGCTTCCGTTACTGATAACTATATGATGTATTAGAAATCTACAATATATTTCGTGTTCCTGATAATAACTTGTTCGTTTGATATGAGTTGTCACTGAGTTCTTCAAGATTGTGATTAACATTAGGCCACGTATATCTCACTAGTTGCTCCTGAGCAGAAATGCGCTTGCTTAGGGCACATGATTCTCGAAGCCAATGATCACTTACTCCACAGTGTGTGGAGTGGTCGTTGGTTGATAATGCTGGCGCGCCCTCCCGAATGTATCGGGGCTTCGGGGGATAGGGCCTGACCAGTGCATACTACGGTAAAAAAAATAAGAATTATGTAGCACGACACCGATGAGGATTAAAATAATCTGACGCAGAGTTGCCAAGCTGATGGTGCTACAAATTCATGCGTCTCGTAGTTACTAGGGATTTTGACGTGCCCCAAATTCAAATGTATTCAAAATTCCACACATATTGGTGAAATTTTATTAATTATTATTAATATGAATGTATGAAGTAAAAATGTCTGCATGTGGCTTGATAATTTTGAATATTGTTTTTTCTATTTACTCCAGCCAATGAATGGAGTCACCAGGTAGCTTTGTTTTCCAATGATAGTGAAAAATTAAAGTTATAAGTAACATATTCATTTCAGTTCGTGAACATTTGTTGACATACTTTATTGAAACTGTAAAATACACCATACAAAATGAAAAAAAATATGTTGGAAGGTTCTGAACAAAAACTTTCATTTCTCAGTTGATAATACTGACTCATTGGTTATTTCAACCTTGATACGACATGGAACAAAATTTTGGTTCACAATATCAACACCCCCAATAAACAGATCCGTCACGCTGGAACCCGCTTTGAAAATAATCTACCTTTTTTTAGCTTACTTTACCTGCAAACGATAGTAATAAATGTATTAATGTTCATTTTTTTGTAGTCTTATCGGTTACTGAGAAAGCACTATTGATTTATTCAAACTCCAAAATACAAGTAATAATGCGCTAGAAAGTTTTGAACTAGGTTCTAAATTGATTGAAGTTTATTGTAGTAACAACACAGTATCAATTTATTTTATATTCTTTTGAGGTATAGCAAAAAANTACTATTTTTACACGCAATAACTGGCTGTGATATGACATCTGCATTTTACAGGAGGGGTAAAATAACAGTTTTCAAAATGTTTGAAAAACAAATCACCTTTGAAATTATCCCATTTGCTTCTTTTTCCCCAACCATCAGTGAATTTGCTCCAGTTCCGTTTGACTTTATCATGTACAATGAAGTCGTCATCTGAGTCAGTCGGGATCTTGTACCTAGTTGATGGCTCCAACATCGATGATATGTCTTCAATTGCATCATCTTCTTCATATGCTGATCTTTTTCCCCAACCTCCCTGGAAAAAAAATATATGTCATGCTCGTCTATCGGAAGCGTGGCATATTCTGGCAGAAAGTGGATCATTCGGCAATCATCACTGGAAAACTTTCGTCGAAAACAAACAATTCTAATCTCAGGAGACTCGTATATTGATCAAGTAATTGACAATTACGCTCAAATGATGATGAATTGTCATTTTGATGTCATGAATATTGTAGAGACTTCAACCCGAATACCTTAAACTACTGTATTTATTATTTGATTGATTTTTCCCTTCATAAGTCCTTACGTGGAAGAGTACATACTATCGGTATCGAATTCAAGCAGCGATCCATATCAATGGTCCTGGGATGACGGAGTTTCAAGCACCCTGCACTATCACGACACAGCGAAGATATACAATAATTGGCCTGACTAAGACACAGATGACGCTACTTTTTTCTTTTTTCAAAGACAAAACACAAGCACTACAGAAAAATCCTTGAGGCGCTATCAGAGCGGTGTCTGTGCGGAAGTAGCGATTCACATTGGATTTAAATCGCTGGAGATTAAATCCATTTGAAAAAACGTTCTCAGGAAGTTCATTCCACATAAACGCAGTTCTTCAGATGACAGAGTTCTAAATAGTGAAGTTCGAGGTCTACTAAGTTAAACCTCAAAACGATGAGCAGCCGCAGCCCGGCGCGTATTTCTGATGTGTACCACTTTTGGTGGAATCAAATGTGCCAAGTCACATGAATAGTAGGTAATCCACTTATTCATTAAATATTTAGGAGGTTAAAAACAGAAAGAAAAACAAAACAGAAAACATTCGTGTTAATTCAGCAAATGCGTTTCTTCAGATATTGCTTTAACAGTGTTGCCTTGTTTTACGACGATCCTTCCATTCCACGACCAAACATTTTGCATTCCATATTTTCTTTAAATGATAACAGAGGTCTGCAAAAAAAACTTTTTAAAAAATTGTTTTGATTTCGTTAACTGATCTCTATGTAGTTTTTTGCGCTGATTTCAAAAATGACATTTGTTTTTATCTATCAAGTAAGGTTTGCCTAAGTTAAAGCAAAAAACCAATGCTTCATAACTAAACTAAGCATAATAGTGATACACAAGTGTTTGCAAAGTGATTATAAGTCTTTGTAAAAACGTTTTGTTTTTCCCTTTTCAACATCCAACAGTAGTCTGTCATCATGTTAACATTCCACCGACCTTGGTACCTGCTTTCCATTTCTTTTATGTCTTGATGGAACCGTTCTCCTTGTTCCTCACTTACAGCCTCTAGATTTTCGGGAAAGTAGTCCAGATGTGACTTAAGGAAATGGACTTTGACATTCATGTTCCAGCCCAAAATGTTGTAGTTTTGTATCAATTCAGCAACCAAAGTTTTGTAGTTTGGGTCTTTTTTGTTTCCAAGAAAGCCTGTTATAACAAGTTCAAATGAATTCCAGGGATTTTTTTTCCTTTCATTTACATTTTAGTGACAAAGCTTTCATCTTTTAAGAGTTTTCTTATGTCAGGCCCAACGAAGACACCTTGTTTTAGTTTAGCATCGGATAGAACAGGAAGCTTTTCAGGAAGATACTTTAAACAATCTCCTTCTTTGTCTAATGCTTTCACAAACTGTTTCATTATCCCCAATTTGATATGGAGTGGTGGAAGTAATATTTTTTAGGATCCACTAAACTTTGTTTTTCAACATTTTTAACTCCAGGAATAAGACCCTTTGTTATTGGTCACACCTGCTTGACATATAGTGTGTTTTCCTGTCACAGCTATCCCATTCACATAGGAAACTTAGTGTAACCACTTTGTTGACCTAGTAACATTGAAATAACGTTCAAGTCTCCACAAATGGTCCACTTACGATCAAAGTAGCTGAGCTTATTAAGAACAAATTCAAGATGTTCATAGCATTCTTTCAAATGGAATGAGTGTCAACAGGATCACAAGCATATTGGTTCCCATTGTGAAGAAGTACAGCTTTCAAACTTCTTTTTGATGAATCGATGAAAATTATCCATTTCTCTGGTTTATACGTTATGTTGAACATTTTCATGACGCCGGGTACATTGTTGTAGAAAACTAGGTCACCCTCTTGTGTGAAAAAGGGACAAATTCCCTTTCTCTAAATCGGTACCATGAAAAAGAAACACCGGAGGCTAACATATGTCTTTCTTTGAGTCTAGACCCTAAAACTTCTGCCGAGTCTTTTGGGAGGCCCAGATCTCGTACTAAATCGTTCAAGTCTGATTGAGAGAAAAGTTCAGGGTCATTATAGTACCTGGATCGTAGCTGTCATCACTATCGCTACTGCTACTGTGTTTTTGCGTCTAAATCGTCTGAGGTATCCGGGAGTGAAGGAATAGGCAAGTTAGGTCCATGAGGAACAGTGCGAACAGCTGAACGTATGTTGGTGGGGTATAAAATATCCTTTCTGTTTTTTAAATTGAAACCTTGCACTGAACAAAAACAAAAATATCAGTCATCACTGTCTAAGTTCTTCCACACACATAGAACACACTATATGGGGAGCCCAAGATTTATCTTGGTCCCCTAATTCAATACTAGAGTATGCAAAATACACAACAAAATTATAAATATTCCTTTGTTGCTTCTTGATGGTATAAGATCCACAAATATAACAAAAACTGATAGGAGAGTTAACAAATCCTCTAGTAGCCATTTCTTCTCAAAACGGTAGCACAAAACTGTTTGATGTGTACACCACAGTGGCTGGCTCCACACTGATCGAGTCACTGGCACTTTAGATTCGTTTTGTTATTGAAATAAATAGATTAAAACTGTTTCTGGCTTTCTACTACTCCATCTTGATACAAAAAAAGGATGAAGGAATCTTCCAAAGAAAGGAAGGAAGTAATCAATCTGAAAATAAGTAACTCTATACATGGATGTGTAGATCATGCAAAGAAGTAACTTTCAGACACAAACTGAAAGAAAGTCCTCCTGAAACAGTTACTTTATCCTAGGTTTATCTCTGTCTTCATTTTTTACCAATACCATTTCTCAATGTGCACACTTTATATCAAGCGAATCGTTGATGATAGCGAGTAACTTGGATAACACATTTTCATTACTTTCTTCTTTTATACAGACGAATCTCAGAACATTCATTCATTCTCGAACATTGCTCTATTGAATCCACCTTTTTTTCACTCCCAGTATCTCTCGTTTATTTTTCAGTCCAATATCTTCCAGAGATGATACTTCATCCTTCAGATTGTTTATATTCATTTCCATTCTACCAAAACGTTCTCGAACTGTTTTTCTGAATTTCTTATTTGATCGTCAAACTTTTACTTTCAACACTCCCAGTAGTTTTAGTCATTTTATTAAGGCACTGTTGGCAACAACGCTGAGATTTCTTTTCCCAATATACAGATTTTAATGTGTCCAGATCAATAAACCTGATTAGCTTTTGTCCGATTTTACAAATTTCCAGCGTGGATTAAAAAAAAATACATTAATATTCCACTTAAATCTTTGCAAGAGTGGAAGAGCTCACTGATGTTATATTTACAGTGACATGCGCATGTTTCTTGACCAGTTATCTGCAGAAGGCTATCATGATCCAAGCAGCTTTGTTTTTCATTTTACAGAATATGGAAAAATCGCCTGGATTCGATTCATTTACATAAATGTTTTTAGGTGGAAGTTTAAACGCGGATTTTCTTTCAAGTAGGTGTAGAAATCAAAGCGACCTTTACAGGGTGATTGGTCAAATATGAGTTGACAACTTTTTGTAATTGATATGATACATTTTATTGTCATAATTGATAATGGAAAAAGCAAATGTTATTTATAAGAAAAATCAAAAAATATCTTCAGAACATAATATTTATGCCAAATGAATGGAAAATTTTCGAATTGAAAATAAACTATATACCAGAAACTAACTATATATGCAGATATTATGAAGCTGTAACTGGTTTCTTAAACGAAATTGCTACAAAAAATGTCTCAACTCATCTCTGATTCGTTAGTGATAACGCTGTTACTTCAATCGTAACACAATATCGTTCTTACATTCTGAAAAACTACACAAAAATAACTGAAACCTGCTCAAAATTTTCTTTCTAGAATTGGGCTAATATTTGAAAAAATCATATGAAAAATCAAAAAGTATCATAAGCATATTTTAAAGTGCATGTTCAGTCATTCCACGTTTATCCTGAAACATTATTTACTTTTTCTGAAACTCGGTACTCTTCAGAAATGTGATATTAGTATCAGGGTTAAACAGTTGCAAAATTCCAACAGACAACATTTTGATGTGGTACATTGATGGAGTATATGAATATCTGATGCATTTCATTTGGCATATCTTTACCAAATGGAATATTTTTGATAATTGTTTTAATGAACAAATTGTCTTTTCATATTCGATGTGATATTTTGTTAAGGCAATTCGAAATCCACATGGAAAATTACAAGCATTATTTAATTCTTCTCGGGCCAACATAATCATCATGCAGCGACACGCATTTTCAATCGTCGGTTTTCTAATCTTCCAGTGTCAAGGTGGTATGTTAGGCAGTTGAGGGAAAATTCCGGCAAACTGGAAGTGTACAAATTGTAAATAATTCAGCGAGGCGTTACTAGAAGGAAATATGCAAATTGAAATCTTTGCAGAAATAGCTCCAGTTCTTTAAAAAACCACGTTAATAACTTACAGAAATTTGCCACGTATTATATATCAATGTTCCAAAGAATTTCAAGAGGTTTATGACATTAATATGATTCAATTACTCAGGCAGGTTAGCTACGGAAGCGTAGAAGGGCCACCACATATTGAATTGAGATTGAAATCGAAATGTCTCGATTAAAGTCGTTATTTCGAGTTTAGAGTCGTAATTTTGAGTTAGGGTGATGATATTTCCCTTTAAGGAGACGCCATCTATAAGATCGACAGAGAACATGATCCTAGAATATGAAAGATCAACAATGCTCCCCAAAGCGGTCTGTTGCAAAGCCAACCGACATCAACCGCCGACGAGT